CACACACACACACACACACACACACACACACACACACACACACACACAGCATGGAACCACGTCTCCTGGGTGCCCCAAGAGCAGGGTCCCACCAGCACAGCTGGCTATGTGTCTGTGGGGAGTCTGGAATGCAGCCCGAAATTTACAGCCTGTCCACTGTGTCCTAGGCCTGGCACCTGTGAGTGACAGCTGCAGTGGAGCTAGAGGGATGACCCTGACCCATACCCACCTCCACAGGCCTTCCAGAGCTTTCTTCTAGGCCAACCACTTTGCCAAACTGCAGTATTGAATAGTGTCACTGTTGTGTGACTCAGTGGTCGTGACCACGGAAGGGAGGCTGCGGCAGAGCCAGCGATCTAACTCGAAGAGAGGACAGTCTGGTTGTAAGCCACGCCCAGGGATCTAGGCCACCCTCTGTCTTAGGCGGGTCCCAGGGCTTGGACACAGGAGTGGCTAAATTACTTCTTGGGGCTGTTTTTATTTGTTTTCTGGAAGGCCAGGGTTAGGGGCAGCAGCCTCAGCGGAGGGCCCTGGGAGCCCAGTCTCAAAGCTGGATTGGGCCTGTTGGGTGCATACCACTGTTCACTTCAGCTGTGGTTTACTGGAAGGGCGGCTAGATCCAGTAGCACCAGTGTTTTCCGATTTTTCAAGGGTTTGAAAATTTTGAGAAGAGAGGTCACTGGAGCCATCAACAGGATCTCTCCTGAATCCAGAGCTGCTCCCACTTGAACACCGACTGCAAGTTAAGAGATTTAGGGCCTGGATGCAGCGCCGTACCTAGTCTGGTTATTCAGGGAGTGCATTTGGTCATCCCTAGAGGCCATAAATTCCTTCCCATCCTGAGCAATAATGGTGTTAAGAGTTCAGATTCACCAGGGGAAAGAACATAGATTTGAACCAAATTATAATTAAATTATTTTATTAGTTATTGCTGACAGCAAGCTGACAGCCTTAAAACCAAAGAGGCTAGAGGATGGGGTTTAAAAGTGGGCACCACAGTTATCTCCTTGGTGTGGAGTGTGTAAGTTGAGTGAGAAACTGTATTTACTTCCCTCAGTTGTGAGGCACTGTCTCTCTCACCCTGTATACATCGATAAAGGAGCTGCCTGGTGCACAGTGATAAGTGTGTTTACAAAAGCCAGAGCAAGCAGTGAATCTTGCACAGTACTTTTACATTTTGGGGAGGGGGCAAGGAGTCAGAATTTCTGTGAACTTATCTTTTAGGAATTTAGAATGGGTGCATAGGACAAAATGGAGTCTCCCTTAGCCATCACAGTTGGACCCAGGGAGAAGGAGGGAGAAGCTAGGCTAACTGCCTCTAGTGGTGATGTCTTATAAAACTACAGAGCAATATCACAGTGATAATGGATTTACTTTTTATTTTTTATTTCATTAATTTTTCTGAGACAGGGTCCTACTCTGTAGACCTGGGTAACTTGGAACTCATAGATAGCCACCTGCCTCTGCCTCCCAAGTGCTGGGATCAAAGATGTGTGCTGGTGCGGGACAATTGTCTATATCCTGTCAATTATGTTTTCAATAAATGCTGATTGGCCAGTAGCCAGGCAGGAAGTATAGGCGGGACAACCAGACAGGACGTAGAGGCGGGTCAATGAGGACAGGAGAATTCTGGGAAGAAGGAAGCCCATTCCTCCCCAGTCCTGTCCAGACACTGAAGAAGGAAGATGTGACTGCCCTGCTGAAAAAGGTACCGAGCCATGTGGCTAACATATACTAGAATAATGGACTAATATAAGTTATAAGAGTTAATAAGAAGCCTGAGCTAATGGGCCAATCAGTTTATAACTTATATAGACCTCTGTGTGATTTTTCTTTGGGACCTAAGGACTGTGGGAACCGGGCACGACAGAAAGCTCTTAACAGTATGATGCCATGCCCACATAACATTGGATTTATACAATCAAGAAAGGGTGTCTCCATCCACTGAGACCCCTCCTGGCACTAGTTATAGCCACATTTCCTTCCCTTTTCTCTTTGCCCACAACCTCTGACAGGCATGGCTTTGTTTCTATTTCTTAATTTCTGTCATCTCAGAGTGTTTTGTTTTGGAATCATGAAGTAGATCTGGACTATCTGGCATCACGTCCTGGCTTACACGCACCTGGTGAAGGACAGTTTGTCTGTGTGGTTTCCAGTTTACAGCTAGTTCTGAATGAAGCTGCTGTGCACACTGGCTAGACACAGTGAAGCAAGCTCACCATCCCAGCCTTCTGAGTGTTAATGCAAGGATTACTTGGAGTTCAAAGTCAGCCTGGTCTGCACTGCTAGACCTTGTTTCAAATAAACAGGAAAGGAAAAGGAACTCGCTTGCTTAGTTTTCTAAACAGCTGATAAAATGTTTTCCAAAGTGAGTGTATCTGTTTACATTCCCACTGTTGTTGCCATGAAAATAATGCTTAAAATTTTAAAAACTTTTATGTGTATATATGCATGCCTGGGTGTATGTAATATGCACTACATTTATGCAGGAGCCCAAGTAGGTCAGAACAGGGCATTAGGCCTCCTGGAACTGGAGTTATAGAAACATGGCTGTGGGCTGCCATATGGGTGCTAAGAACCAAGCCCGGGGCCTCTGCAAGAATAGCTGGTGATCTTAACTGCTGAACCATCTCTCCACCTTCCATCCCCAATTTTTTAAAGCCCATCTGTTGTGCGTCTTGTGTTTTTATCTGCATTTGCCTGATAGCTTATGTTGCTATATGCCTTTCCACGTATCTGCTTTCTCTGTATCCTAGTGAAATGCCTCACTGTGCCCTCTGACCATAGTATTATTATGTGTTCTTAAACCATTGAGTTCTGAGTGTTCTGGATGTATGATAGAAGCTATTCCTGTATCAGACGCATGATTGACACGTATTTGCTCTTGATTTATAGCCCATCTCTTCAGCCTCTTCAGAGGGTCATTTGCAAAGCAAAAGCTTTAATTTGGGTCATAACCAAATCTTTATACTGTTTGCTTTAGTGGATCATGTATTTAGTGTTAAGAGAAGTCTTGGCTTAGTCCTACATTTGAGAGTATTCGATCATATTGAGAGTTATTATTGTTTTATATTTTATGGTTAAGGTGTGAGATTTAGTTCAGGTATTTTGTTTGTTTTGGTTTTGTCCACATATATCAGTTGTTTCTGCATCTTTAACAGGGTTATTATTTTTCCACTTTTCTCAAAATTGGTCTTCTGTATGAGTCTGTTTCTGACTCCCCCTTCCACCCCATTAGTTTGTATCAGCTTCTCTGGCAATACCATTGATAACACCATGGCCTTTTCTCTAACAAACCTAGAATGCTATATACTGATAACCCACATTTTACAAGGTTGGTTCAGCTACTCTAGTTTCTTTACCTATTTTTATTTTATTTTATATGCATTGGTGTGAGGGTGTCAGATCCCCTGGAATGGATTTACAGACAGTTGTAAGCTATCATGTGGGTGCTGGGAATTAAACCCAAGTCCTCTGGAAAGGCAGCCAGTGCTCTTAACCACTGAGCCATCTCTCCAGCCCCCCAGTCATCTCTTCAGCCACCTCAGTCATCTCTCCAGTTCCCTCATTCACCTATTAATGTATATTTTTGGTCAGCGTTGTCTATACCTACTTTAAAAGTCTTGTTGATATTTTGACAGAAACATGGATATCTATTTGCCCAGGGTTGACATTTTCAAGGTTAAGGCTTACAAACCATGAACACTGACATATCCACCTACTTCTTTAAACACAAGGCAGTAGTTTTAACAGCATACAAGTCTTACACAAATGTTTTAGATTCATACTTTTTTAATTTTCTTTTTGTTTTTTTTGGGGGGGGGGGAGTTTGAGACAGTATTTCTCTGTGTAGCCCTGGCTGTCCTGGACCTCACTCTGTGGACAAGACTGGCCTCAAACTCAGAGATCTGCCTGCCTCTACCTCCCAAGTGCTAGGATTAAAGGTGTGCGCCACCAGTGCCCCGATAGATTTATTTTAAGTAATTGTAAATGTCATATGTAGTTTCTCTTAGTGTGCCTAGGTTCATTTCTATGGTGATAAAATTGATTTTTGCTTCCCAGGCTTGTAATCTGTAACCTTGCTCAACCTACTGTAGGGGAGCTTGAGCCTCCTTAGGACTGTTTCTACATATACCATCATTATACTTGAACTGAGTGTCTTGTAGACAACATGTAGTTGCATTTGGATTTATTTATTTTAATTTTATTTATTTGCCTGTTTATTTTTTGGCACAGGGAATCAACAGCAAAGGATGGGCCGGCTGCAGAAATTCTCTCGGTTTGTTTTCTCACACATCTGAGAATGTCGGGACCCTTCCATTCCCGGAAGCAGGAAGAGTGAGGCAAGCACGTCTGCCACCTTTGCCGAGCGCAGCAGAGAGATCACTACCAGGTCCTTGGCTCTCTTGTGCCCACAGAAGCCTCTAGAGCAGGACAGCTCTAGACATAACCAGGTTCCAAAAATAAAACATAGAAGTCAGTGCCAGGTTCTTCTGCAACTATTGTGAACTGGCTAGGTGATAATCAAGGAGAAATGGCATCTTTCTACCGCTCAGGAACTCTTATGTGACCTGAGATACACTGGAGAAGATGTCAGGCTGGAAATCCCAGTGAAGAAGGGGGAGAGAAGGCCGCGTTAGAAGGCAGCAAGAACACCTAGTGCGTCTCTCATTGAAACTGTGACCGCTCTTCTCAAGTCTTCAGGGTTTTGGTTGCTGTCGACCCACATAGTAAGTAGCTTGTGCTAGGAGGAAAGTGAAGATCAGGAATAGAAACTGTGCTTAAAACAAAGAAATGTAAGGCTTTGCCTGTGAAGTTGGGGGAAATTAAAGCTGAGTAATTTGAACCTCAAAAACCAGCAGTGCTCACTAGCTGGGTCACTTCCTGGTAAGCTTCTTCACCTCACAGACTTGCCTTCTCACCTGAGACTGGGGAATACCCTAACCAAGACTGTGACCGTGGTGTTGGTGGCTTAGCTCCACGAAACTGGACGTGCCAAACCAGACACAAGAAAAAGAACTTTAGCATATAAAGTTTTTGTTTTTTGGATTTTTTGTTTGTTTGTTTGTTGGTTTGTTGGTTTGTTTTTTTTTTTTTCGAAACAGGGTTTCTCTTGTGACTGGCTGTCCTGGAATCCACTTTGTAGACCAGGCCCAAACTCACTGAGATTTGCCTGCCTCTGCCCCCCAAGTGCTGGGATTAAAGGTCTGCACCACCACCATCTGGCTACATATGAAGTTTTCAATGTGAGTTTTAGAAATTGTTGATTACACACTGCAAACCTAGATTTCCTGTGCTGGACACGTGAGGTATAAAATGTTGAGGGGACAGGGGACTTCCTGCTCTGATCTGTAAGAGGATGTGGCTCTCTCTGCGGCGGCAGGAGGTGCTGAAGTGGCAGCAGGCTTGTGGGCCTGGAATTGGAGAGGGCTCAGGTTGGGGATTGAGGCTGAAGCGAGCCCAGACGCAGTCCCTGGGGCTGGCAGCATTCTTGACAGAAAGATGACAGCAGAGGTGTGGCCTGGCAGCCTCCACACTGCACCTACCCTCACAGGACTTGGCCTGTGAGCACTTTACAGTATTTGCATTGCTAACCAACATCTAACAATCATGACATTTCACCCAGTAATGCTGGGCTGGGTTTCCTCTGAAGACAGAGGCCCCAGAGCAGGCACATCTTGCCCACTCATTTCAAGCAGTGTGCGCCTCTCCCTACTTCCCACCCCTCATTCAGCCCATCTCTAAAATAACCAACTGGGATTTCCGGGTTGTTTGACTGGGTGGTGCTTTCCTGAGTTGTCTACAGGGAGGAAGGGAGGAGGCTTGGGAAGCAGGGTCAAGTTCAGTGTGGACTTTTGAAAAACAGTGTTGATCTCTCTGGGGAAGTCAACCCAGAAGGCCTGGCGAGGGTACAGTCGGAGGTCAGAGTGGAGGTGAAGGTTGAGGAGTCGCCATTCGTGAGCAGTGACGTCGTGAGCACGCTGTACACAGGGAATGTGATCTGGAAGGAGAAATGGCCCTGAGGAGATTCTTGTGAGGAGGAGAAGGAAAGGGGAAGAGTTTGCAAAAGTGATGGAGACAGACACCACGAGATCATGATTCACGTGCCAAAGTCACTGCACACTCCCACAGAGACCCTGAAAGTCCCCAGAAGCCAAGCAGAATAGAATGGAGAGATACACAGTGGGGGTCGATGGCACTGTGAAGGAGAGAACCCCATTCACGGTTCACGAGGAGAGACATCAATTTGCATTATTGATGAAGTGATTGGGAAGTATCTTCTGCGAAGAATAGGGCAGGACAGTGTGAGGCCACTGGGTCCTAGAGCCTGGTCACTTGGATTAAGACCGTAGTTCTGCTGGCCTGGAACTCTGGGTCCCAAGCAGGTGAATGTGGTGGAATATTAGCTTAAGAGTTTGATTCCCACGGCTTACCTAAAAAGTCAGGCATGATGGTGCACACTGGGGCGTGGGTGAACGGGACGAGCGCTGGTGCTTCCTAACTAGCCAGTCTAACACCAACCAGTGAGCCCCAGGTTCCAGTGAGGAACCCTGTCTTCCCCCTCTCCCTCCCCCACCTCCTATCCCACCCCACTGCTGCCAAAAGAAAACCAAGGTGGATAGTCCCTGAGGAACAACACCTAAAACTGGCCTCTGACTTCCACATGTACACACACGCACACCTGTATGTGCACCACCCATCTCATGTGATCCCCCTCACGCCCATTCACACTTGCCTGTGCACACCCACACATACACACAAAACAAAGATAAGAAATAAAAAGTTTAGAGTTTACATGTTAAACATGCAAATGAATACCAAAAGGTCAGAGGTGACCTGTGGGCCTCCATCCCACCCTGTGCTTGGCTCCAGCCCTATCTGCAGAAGAAAGTGGGGCGTGCCGGGACGCCCTTGGAAGAATGGAGAAATGGCGATGAGTGGGGCATGCCGGGATGCCTTTGGAGGGATGGAGAAAAGGCAAGGAGTGGGGCATGCCGGGACGCCCTTGGAGGAATGGAGAAATGTAGAGGAGTGGGGCATGCTGGGACGCCCTTGGAGGAATGGAGAAATGTCGAGGAGTGGGGCATGCTGGGACGCCCTTGGAGGAATGGAGAAAAGGCGAGGTAGAGGCCAGTGAGATGACTGAACACGGTGGGAAGCAGGAGAGGCAGGCTTCCCGGAGGGTCTGTGTTGAGATACCATGGTGAGGGTGACCTGAGCACAGGCTGGGACAGGTCTCCTCAGCATATGATCTCAGTCTCCACCCCCGTGTGCTGGCGTGGAGGCCCTTCTCTTCCAACATGGAGTCCAGTTCTCACACCTTGGTTCTGCACTGACCTCTGACTTACTCTTATCAACAGTATGTAGTACAAATGATGCTGTTTCAGACTTGAGTCCCATACTCTCACTCCTCCTTCTGCCATGAACCAGGCAGTGGACTCACTGGATAAAGCAATGGCCTCAACCCGTGAGGAAAGAAACCATGGAGGAAACCAAGGCCCACCAGAGCCAAGACAACCATCAATCCCCAGAGGCAGCTCTGCCCTGTGACCTATTGTCATTGCAAGAGAGACCTAGCTATGACTCAATAACCACCCAGCAGAGCCCAGCCCAAGCTGCTCTCCCACAGAGCCACAAGGTAAATGGGCCATGCTGTGTTAAGCCCCAAGGCTGGGCTGACTTGTGTGCAGCAGAAGTATATTCATGCAGCAGATAAGATACTCCATGTGCCAGCTACACATCTGAGTTACCTTGTCTCTATAACCACTGTGAGATTATAAGACCTGGGGATAGGATCCAGCAGTTCTAAGGGGGGAAAAAAAATCAAGACATTGAAAATTTGGACATAGGAAGATGCAGGGAAAAAAAAGAAACATATATATGTGTATATACTTATATATACAATTATATATCATACAATACAGACAATAGCCACAAAAAGAAAATAGATTTTTAAAAATGATTTAACAGTCCTGTTAATAGGCTGGACCTAAGGCTACAACTACTGAGGTTATAAATACTTTTCATGCTGATGGAACAGGGTGATCGTGTGTCTTACTGGAGTATTTATACTTCCCCCCAAACCATTTTTCCTTAACCCCTTGCTCAGTTTCTCCATACTGTCTTAAGGCTCTTTATAACTTCTTCCAGCTTGTGGGGACTCAGGCGGCTGCCACGGGCAGCTAAGAAGGATCTGCTGTGTACTGGATTCGGATATGAGTTCCTCAGAAACGTCCTCTCTTCCTCTGAGTGTTCCTGGACATTGGCCCAGGCTCATTTCTTCCTGAGGAGGGTGGAATCTCATTACAGGAAGCTGTGGACATGGAACCCTCATTACGGAATGGAGGCCAAAGGTACTTTATTGTCCTTCTTTGTCCTTAAAAGATCATGAGGAGGGAAACAAGCATAAAAATTTAGACCCTTTTAGTGTGGCCCTGCAAAAATAGCATCAAGTAGAACTGAAACAGGTGAGTGAGTAGGGGTTGGCCAGCACTGCCCGGCTCCTGGCAGTCCTCGCATGAAGCCACCGTGAACTCTAACAGCAGACGTTCCCGGGCTTGCCCAAGGCCGCATGTAAGGAGTTGTGGCAGGGTCAGTCCTTGGTCCACTTCTTTCCCAGAGATCCTCCTTCCTGTACACAGACATGAGGCTGCTGGGGAAGAGGGTATTAGCTGTGACATCCAGGGACCTGAAGAGCACAGCTTCAGTCTGAGAAAGTCCCCATGCGGGCCTCCTCCATCGTTCAGTCTCACTAGTCAAAGGCAAAGTTTCCTTGGCATGAGGCGCACATACAGGCTTGTCTCCCTTTAAAAAAAAAGGCAGCCCCATGCAGCTGGAGGCCCAATGTGGCTTGGCATTCATTGATTTTATTTGCAGCATTATCTTTATTCTTGGCAAGTGTTTGCTCTTAAGACAAATAAAATGAACTTGAAGTGTGGGTTGAGTTAAGGGAGATTAAGAAAGCCCATTGGGCTAACATGTGGCAGAGGCATCCTGGCAGCGTTATGGCCATGGCCCAGGTTGGGGACACCCAGGTAGGGCCCAGGGGAAAGGCTGTGTTTGGCGCCTGACACACAAACTGCACTCTAGAAATAAACCTATCCCTCACCAGCCTGATCTTTCACTTCCAGGCTCTTGTTTCCTGTCAGTCCCAATCAAGGCTAGGGGCCATTGATATGGCTCTGCAGCTCAAGGGACAAGCCTGGCAACCTGAGCTCCATGCCCAGAGCCCACATGAAAGTGGAAAAGGAAGGAGGAACCAACTCTACAAAGCTAGTCTCCACCTGTGTGCCATGGTATGCATCCCCCTGCCCACATGCACACACAAATAAACAAGCAAACAAACAAATAAATAACATTTAAAAATCAAGGCTGACCCAGCAGTTTTCCCGTGGGTCTTATGGCCTTGGGAATTCTATTTTTGCTATATATTTAAGGCCAAGGGCTAGGTCTCTTGGGAAAGGTCACTGAGTACAATGGGATCTACTGAGAGGGAAATGAAGGTTCCTACCCACATGCTGCTGCCCATAAATGCATTTGGCAAGTCCAGAATGTCAGCAATTAGTAACTAGGCCCAGGCACCCTAATGAGATTCAGACTGAGCGTCAAAGAAGAAATTCTTCCACTGACTAATCGGGTTAGTGAAGCGAAGAGAAGTTGTCCACACTGAAAAATAGTCCACAAATAGAGCGCTAGCGACTAAACGTGGTGGGGTGCACACTGCATTGTTCTCCTTCAGCGGTTAAAATAAGCCTCTGACTTAACACTAAAGTGTAGCCTTTGAAGGCAAATGAGGGTGATTATGTGTATACAGGGAAAGTCCACTGAAGGGCTGGGTAGCCTGCGGAAAGAGCTGAGGCATAACCAAGCAGGGAGGGCACACTGGACGTCCTCTCTCTCTCTCTCTCTCTCTCTCTCTCTCTCTCTCTCTCTCTCTC